GTTACACCTGAGCCCCTGCTCTCTGTTTCTGCTCTGCGCCCTCCTCCTCTCGTCTTGTGTCCGTCTCAGGACATTTTTGACGACGGTCTACGTCCGTCTCTCGCCGAGTCTTTCCGAAGAGAGTGCGACGTCCTCCTGGCCTCATCTTCATCTTTCGGTGAAGACGTACAGAAAGTACAGTAGCTGCAAGAAAATGACGCAGGCCATGCACATGCGTCCCCGCTAGGCCTTCGCAAGCGCGAAATCAGTCTCACGTGCGATGGCCATGGCCAGTGTTCAGCTCTTCCTGTGGAACCCTACCGCAGTGCGTGTGCCCATGCGAAACGGACGCGTGCGTACAGCATTAGTTTTACGAGGCCGCCGGAGAGTTCCGGGAATACGGTACTACGCGCAATACACCAAAGAATGAGCGGTGCTACTGTACGTGCTATTCGAACAGACGGCGCATTCCCTATCGATCGTCTCATTGAAAGCAAGATGAAACTGTAGCTGGAGCTTGAGCGCATGCCTGTGGCCGTACTTCATACACGTTCGCCGATTGTGCGCCGCAACTGGCATGGGCCAGTGGCACGTGGGTCGCGGGTAGCGTCCAGCAGCTAGTCTATGCGAAGACTGTTCTGGTTAGGCATGCGAACTGCTCTCCAGTAGAGTATGACGGGGCTGTGCTGAAAGTAGAACCCTATTTTTTGACCCCATGATTGTCGAGTCAGAGCAACCAAGGGTCGACGACGAGACACCACGCCTTCGACACTACCTTTGTTGGCTCATGGCATGCAGTGTCGTCTCTGCACGGCTGGCTGGACGCATGTGGGCCGAATAATTCTCGGTGACCCGCGCCTATACATTGAACGGAGTCAGCTTGAACATCTTGTAAACTCTATCAACGATCTATAAGGACAGTTGGCAACTCTCAACGGCCAAGCCCCCCCCAGCGGCACAGCTAGAACCGTAGCCACGATGCCATCGTCAGTCAGGTGTGTCTGTGATCGCTATACAAACTAAACGGGGCGCACGGCCTACGTACGTTATGCACCGTAGTCATCTGAATCAATCTCTAATGGTTCCAGGCGGAGGGTCTCGGCGGGATCGGGATCGACGATATCCCTGCTGCTGAAACGTCGCAATAGTCCCGTGACCCGAGAGACCGTTCTCTCCACGGACGGGCTGTTGGCGGGTGATGGTGAACCTGCCGCCAGTGATGGTGGTGTCTCGATGCTACAGACCCCCGAGCGGGGTGAGGCTGGCCCTGGCGAAAACGTCACCGGGCCCCCTGAATCTGGTGTCAACGCCGCGGTTGCCGTCATATTTACGACTTCGCCGTCAGCGGCGGTGGTGGGGTCTTCCTCGCATGGCGCAAACCCGTACCCTTTGCGTCTTCTCTCTTCTCGTTCTTCCGGCCCCTCCCCAAACAAGTCGCCCCCGACGGGCTCTGATGATCTGCTTTCGTGCTGTGGTGGCATGTTTACCACTGTTGCATGTTTCCTCCCGTCGTCTAACGGTCTATCGTTGTTGGGATTTCGGCTGTTGTCCGCCGTTGCGGCCGACGTCGCCTCGCTCACGAGCACCTCACCCCTCCCTCCCACCTCCCCCTCCTCCCTAGAGACCGAGCCGTTGCAAAAATCAGGCGGAAGCAAGGTGCGGGCATCAAGCCCACTTGCTCCCAACGTGTCGCCGTCGCCGCCGCCGCCGCTTTCGTCGTCGCTCTCGTCGTCGAAGGGGTTGTAGCCAATAGTGCCTCCCTCTTTTGCATTAGAAGTTAGGTCCCTTGCTTCCTCGACCCCCATCTTAGCTCTCTCGGTTTCAAATGCTACTTTGATGTCCCCCGCGGCGCCCTTGTCGAGACTCTGCCGCTTGATAGCTGGGTCGTGAAAGGTGAGAAACGCAACGCTCCTGCCAGATGCACAGCAGTATGCAGGCAGTGGGGTTTTGTGGATGGACACGGAGTCGATAGCGATCAATATATTCTTTGTAGTACAATACCCTCAGCTCATGCGTGTTGGTTACACAACGACAGATTGTACGGGATATTGAACTCCTCTCTCCGCTGCAACCAAGAATCACCAAATCAGGCTGATCCTTCTCTCTGAATTTAGGCGGGCCATGAGTTAAGACTCTACAGGCGTTTTTCTCACCCCTCTGTTCTAGTAGCATTTCCCATCCCCGACGATGCTCGGCTGCCGCTCCCCGCAGGAAACTCTCTCGAGATCGTAAACGACTGCTCGAACAGTCCCGTCACCACAGCGTACACATCCCTCTCTTCGTCCTGTTCGGCCGAACACAGATTAAAGGAAACGCAATCGAGCGTATCGCCGGCTTACGTGTAGAATATGTGACAAAATGTCGAAGTGCTGTATGACATTCGCGCGTAGCCAAGTACTCACCTTGAGAAAACCTTACTAACTATATCAACGTTTTAATGGATAGGAGCAAGAGACGTTGCATGGAGGGACAGCCTGACGGACTTGCAAATCCTTTCATGATCATGGGACGTCAAATCTTGGGGAACCCTGAACGGAGTCAGTCAAGGAGTGCGAATCGAACAGATCTCATGTCGGTAGGACAAACTCGATACTAAAGACGGTTGCACCACGTTGTTCAGCGGGAACAATCAAATTGTTTCCTCCATGCACCAATCACCTGACACATCATTTCATGGCCTCTCCCCCCGTTGGCTAACCCGCTTTGGACGTGGAAACGTTTTTGTGCAGTATGCCCCGGACCCAGCAGGATGGCTGCCGTGTATCCTTTGCCACAAGGCTTTCGTGCCAGACAAAAAGTCGGCCTCACGAGTTACAATGAATTGAACACGTGATGCTCATCCTCCACTCCCCCTTTCAACGTTGTGCTACAGAGCACGCGTAGCACGCGCTAGGCTCATGAATATCAGATGCAAGATATAGAATTATGACACCACTACACCTAACCGAGAAGCTCTCGGTCTGATCAGTTGAAGTTCTCAGCTTCTTGATGATACTATGAAGCACAGGTCAAGAGTTGAATTGCTCTCCAGCCGTATCACCCACCTGCGGGTCGCTCGAGAACAACTTGTAAGACGTCCGGGCGGTGCACGTGACTTGAATGTAGCTCGTCCTGAACAGAGGTCCGTCTTCCTCGTCGTTCGAGGACCCCGACTCTTCCCCTCCGTCGTCGGTGTCCCCAAAGAACATCTTGTAACTCGCAAGGGCGGCGGCAGGCGCCGAGCTCAACCCACCGCGCACCCCCCCCTCCTTGTGGCCCTTGCCACTGCTGTCACCCTGTCCAATTGCCGACATCGCGTATGGAACACTCCTCTTACTGTTAAGCCCTACGTTGCTGCCCGAGTACCCCGCAGCCTGATCCACGCTTCGGCGTCGGGCAAGCGAAGCAAAAATTCCTCCGCCAGTGGCACCGCTACCCTCCCCGCCGTCTGCGCCATATGTCTTGGAGCTCACGAGGCCGGGTTTCCGCTGTCCTGTCGGAGAAGCGACTGCTTCTCCCTCGTCTTCGGCCCATGGCCGCCCTAGCCCTGCCGGCGCCGTTGCCGCCAAGGATTGCGTTCCGCCGTCCCAGGAGGCGGCCTGCCGCATGTCCGGCGGCACCGGCAGCGTGGTCGGCGCCACCCGCCCCCCCATAGCGCTCCCCGTACGCGTCAATGTTACTCTTCCGCTACCTGGGATCTTCAGCCGACCTCGGCGCTTAACCCCGCCGCCTGTCTGAACCCCGTTCCTCCCCCCCCCTTTCCCCACCGGCTGATGCTGGGCTTTCGTGTCTCCATCCCCGCCCCCGCCGGGGGAGGTAAAGCCCCCTTCGCTATTTCTCGCGCTAGGAGGGCTTCTTTGCACACCGCTGCTCCGATGCCCGAAGGAAGGGCTCGCCGCCGCGGAACCGCTACCGAGAGACGAAGGGGAGGGTGGCTCGGGCAGCTCCCCAGGAGATGGTGGGCTGTTCGGTTGGGGGCCCTTCGTCCCACCGTCGATCGTATGGCGATAATGTCGCGATGGGCTCTGCTTGTGCCCTTGTGTTTGCACTTGTGCCGCGCGCGGATGGAGGGTAACCGTTATATCAAGCGGCTCCGCCTCTTGCGAAGCGGGCACCAGCACCACTAGCGGGGGGTTTCGGCACAGGTTGTCCACCTGGATTGCATCAGTAGGTTCACCGCAGCGAGAGGAAGAACAGGGGACGTTGCGAAGTGGTTGCACCGGCATTTGTACAAAAAAATGTTGCAGGTGCGCCAGATTCGCAAAGCCTCTCCCGAGATTCGAAAAGCTTCTCCAAGCCTCGGAAATCCACCGGATAAAACTATTCGTACTGTATACGGTGGACTCCGACCAGGGCAGCGATCGAGGTAGCAGTCGAGGCTGTGTTCAACAGGATAAAAAAGCTCGCCTATTAACCACAGCACCTCGTGCTCTGGCTGCTGACGCCCCCCCGTCGCCAACAAGCACGTTGGTATAGATCCATATGTCAGCACACCGTACATAGATATAGACGCATGTATGCTTCTGGGTCTTGAAAACGTGAACGGAGATTTCTCCGGCCGAAAACGGAGAGACGTGTTTGGAAGTGGTCGAAGCTAACGCTCCTAGATCATTGAAGCCCGCAGAGGGCTCGAAAAACGGCTTTCCTGCGGACACCATTCTGATTAGCTTACCACGAGGTAAGTGTCTCCACCGGAAGTAGTCCGATCGCAGGCGAGGAGCACATCGCGCGCGGCCAATAAACTCTGAGCTTCCGACAGCTTGGACAAAGAGTCCGACGCGGATAGTCTCCCAGCCTGCCGCAGGCGTCAAAGAGATAACACATTTGCCTCATGTGCAGATGGCTTGGATTTCGGGTCGTTTCTACATACACTGAAAAGTCGTTCTTCAGTGGTACTGGTTGAATTCACGTTGAGGTCGGCTTCGATTTCCAGTTGGCAAGAAGGCCGCATGGCAAAATTTCTTGAAAGTGCACCGATGTGACGAAGTGGCGCTTGACCGAGCACAAGTGTATGCTAAAGCATTGCCCTACTTTTGTTATAGCTGCAACACTCACTCCCGGCCGATGATACAAGCAAGCAATGCTGCCGTGCCAGAAAAATAGGTCACGCTCCAAATCAACCAATGCTCAGTCAGGTCAGCCGCGTGCTGTGGCCTCGGGTCGGTGGTTGCCAGCTCTCACCAACTCGCATGCGAGCTACGGCGTACAGCATGGTATAAGTAGTTGAAGATCCTAAATCTTTCATGGAAGGACTACAGTCACAGCCAAAAACCAATTGGGATAATATTGTACTACTTCGTTTGAGACGTGCATGCCATATGTATGCGAACAGGATATTGAAACCACTATCAGTCATCCTGCCTCGCCAGATGCAGGAAATCAACGACATGCTTCGTCGTTGCTTGAATGTCCCATTGTCGTTGGAGCAAACTCTTTCGAAACTACTTCTGTTCCCCATGTTTCTCACGAGATTCTATCACTCTCTCAAGTCCGAGTACTGTTTTGATATCCCAACAGTACTTACTGTGCTTCTTGTCCTTTACGTTGTCAACTTATGGTTTTCGTTACTCAACGAGTAGGCGTGCTTTCAACGGGTTAAGGCTGGTTTTGAAGCGATGGCGACAAGGACACCACGGATATGGCCTCGTGACTTTTGTCGCACCCCCAAAAAGCTGTTGTTGCTATACATCTCACCTGAGCGAGAATGCACCGCGTCAAAGCTCCTATGATGCCCTCTGGCCCTCGCTCCCCCGTCATCACCCTCCCGTTAATCGACACCGTGTCTCGCTTCATGTCCTTCCACAACTGCGCCAGCTCCGACTTACCACGCCCCCGCCCTGATGCCTACGAGTGTTTTTGTGTTTTACGGCACCAACGCAGAAGCGATAGGATGGGCCCTATCAGGCATTTCGTCTTCCATATCTATTGAATGGTGCTCGTCGCCCAAATTAAAGTGGCTGTATTGAATCTTCGTGTGTTAGCACACACCTTCCTTGCCTTTGGAAAGTCGATAACGTCATATTTGTTGCCGGACTCTTGGTCGTAAGATAAGTTGACAATTTGAAATTAGGATTGGTAACATACGGCACATGGGTGTCTTCACGGAGTGGTTTTCAATTTCACATATGGCGTAAACTTACCTAATGTAGTACAGATACGGGTGTTAGGGCCATGTTTGTGGCCGAACGCTTGGGCCGTTTCGCTAGAAGATTTGGAACATTTGAAGACGGACATGCTACCATATCGCTGACTGTGGCCTCCGCCGAATGTTTTCGCAAGAATTATGTACACAGTAGTGGATGCAAGGTTCAAATTGACACACACACACGCGGCATAGGGGGGTACGCTGACATGGTGGGAGATTCCGGTAAGGAGAAGGGCTGTCTTCGAGATAGAGACAAGCAAGTTGAGGGATGTCACGAACCAAAGTCGAAACGGCGGATGGTAGCGAGAAACCGCCAATCGTCATCGTACTGGATAGGTGGTTTCCACAAAAGGTGGGAAAGAAGGTATACGAAGACAAATGCAACGTAGTGTCGAAGCGGGTTGAGTACCCAAATGTTGAAGTTGCCTGTCTGATGGGTAGAAACAGTGCTCTCCATCTGTGAGGGGATGAGGGACCAAAGCCAAGGCACAAAACACCTCCTGAATTTAGTTCCCGGCTCATTCCCACCTGGTAGACCCTTTCCGACCCCGGTAGCTGCTGCTTTACCCACTTCACCGGGACCCCCATTGAGCTGTCCTTCTCGCCCCCCTCTTGCAAACCGCCTCCTGTTCCTCTCCCTACTTCAGCCATCAACCCCTTGAGGGCCGAAAGATAGTCCTCGGTGGATGTAGCGTTTCGAAGGAACCCCCGTGCGGAAAGGTAGCTGCGAAGGCAGCGGTGGTGGGGGTGGGAAAGAAGGAAAAAGGGAGGGTGTGCTCGTTGTCGTTCATGACCGTGGTATGTTGCCATAGGCTGTCAAACTCCTTTCAAGGGACGGCAGCTCATGTCTATGGGGATTTCGCCAGCCAGGTAGTCCATGGCAACGAGCATGAAGTGGAGGCAGCAGCCGCCAAGTGTTCGTCCACCAGCGTTCCAAAACAGACATCAGACATCATCAACCGCTGCCGAGCGTTTTGCTTGTCGATCACGAAGATAGAGCTGGTCGAGGAGTGTGAAGAGCTTGCTAGTTTCAATGGTGCCGGGGGCGGATGCATGGCGAGAAGAGCACCTACTTATTATTTAGAACGTCAAACCTTTCCATGTGATGTCTGTGGCACGAATCGTGGGGAATGATCGGCAGCTGGTCCTCCCCCAAGATTGTCTCGTCCGGGTTGACCGGCCTTTCCGTCATCGCTGCCTTGATCGCGCTCACCTACCCTCCCGTCAGGGACGAAGAATGCCCAGCACACACACCGAACACACGAGCACACAGGGTTAACATAAATTGTTGTACTGGTACAACTTTCGACACAACGAGAAAGTTTGCGGGTTGGTCACTGCAGCAGCCGACAGGGAGTGCATCGGATGTCGAGCGCGCTGGTAGGAAATGCATGGATAGGTTGAAACGTCAAATCCAAAGTACATACGGTTGACCGGGTGAGCACTGGCCTTAACGCGGAATGACCATTGTTTTGTGTTTTGGAGCGTGCATTTTGTCCTCCTTGGGATTCTGGCTCGACAAATGTCAAGTGGAGTGCTGAAATAACGCAGCCCACTCCACGAAACTTTATGTTTTCAGTCTTCGTATCTCTCCCCTCGGCAGCAAGGCACCGCCGTTTCCGAGTGCAGAAGAAAGAAGTTGCTACTGAGCGATGAACTCAGCTCCTTGGTTCAAGTCACGCGTATCCGTGTGGGTGAGAGCTCTTGTCCTGATTCGTATTCATTGCAGCCCCCGATCTTGGATTTCTTTCTGTTCTGCGTTGTAAACGTAGCGCTCACGCGACTTTGCAAGGTGTTGCACTCTGCTACTGATACCATCTGAGGAAAATCTTTCGACGCTTTGCCTGCACGATAATCACAACTTAAGCAAGCGCCGCATGCATGCCTCGTGGCGACACGGAAGTGGAAGCGGCCGCGTAAATCGGTGACGGCACAAACGTTGTTGCTTCTTTGCTATAACGTCTCTTGAGACTTGTTCATCGTAGCGCATCCAGGCACGACGTTTCGCCGAGCTTCAACGAACACATGCTGCTGCCTACCTCGCAAACCGTGTTTCTAGAAGTTATTTGCTAGGGGAAAGATTATAATTTAAAGGTCGAAAGATATCCACGTTCACCGATGTCTTTGAGCTACAACACCACATCTACGCCTGCATGCAGGCTACTATTGCTGGACTACTCAAGCCGCCATTCTCGGCCTAGATCTTGCTTACCCATCGACGGCACTCCTGCTTGCTCTCCGCCGCCCACACTCTCCGTTTCGAGCCCACCACTTCAATCTCCAGCAGGTGCTTGCTAGTCGATCCCCCCCCCATCCCCCCACCAAACCCGCCCCCCTCTATCCTCCCAGCCCCACCATAACTCATCCCGGCTCTCGCATGGTGGTACTGTGAGGATTTCGGCAGGTTGGAAAGAACTAAACTATTTTTGCTCCTCGTAACGCGGTGCTTTGTTTTGACAGACCGGCAGGTGCAGAAGCCTTGGTGGAGCGGGATAACCTTAGCGCTTCGGCTGTCGAAGGAAGGGAGAAGAAGGAAAGGGGAGGAAATTTTTCTCGTTAGGGGGAAGGGTTGCCGTTTCAACCTCTGGTCGTATGCACACCCCGTTTTCAGCAGTGCCGTGTTTATTCCACTTGTGAACGAAGATGAGGGCAACATCATTTTCCGTGCTTTGATTAGGGTACGGAGTTGTTGCGTACTCGTGTCATCCACGAAAACTGCCAAGTTTCAGCCCTTTTCCGGTTCCCGAAAAACATGTAGGCAACACTCGGTCGGATGCGGTGGAATCTGTACATTTAATTGCAGAGTCTACTTTGTTCCAGGTGCTCACGTCACTGAGAATAATGCGCGTGATGCCAACTCTTACCATTGACTAACGTTTGTTTGTGAATCTTGACTCAGGCCCTGCATGTGGCCTTCGACGCACGCAACCACTCACCTCTTCCCTATCACGATGGGCCCGTTGTCGGAGTACGCGAAGCTCCCGGGCGTGAGCTCGACGTACTTGGTTTTCCACGTGGTTTTCTCGAGGCGCCCAACGCTCCTCGCCGTGGCCTTCCGCAGGGTCCCTGACTTGAGGATCCTCGGCCTGTTCGCGTAGAAATTGGGCTCGTGCTGCTGAAAATGGAAGCGAGCGCCC